GTTCATCTTAAAAAGCATCCCACAGCTGAGCACTGTTCTGTACACTCCACTTGACTTTATAGCCACCATCAATTAGTTTAATTTTCCCTTTACCTTTTCGTCTGTACTGCCCTCTAAATTGAGGGAGCTCCCTCAAGGAGCCCGAAAAATTTAAAGAGGAAACCTGTGATGTGGCTTCCTGCAATTAAGTCATTAAAGTTACACATTCAAATCCATTTCATTCTTAAAGTCTGTGAGGCTGTGACATTGTCTTCTCTTAAATCGCACTTTAGAACTTATCTGTGTCATGGTGTCTTTAAATGATTCAGCCACAGCCAGACAGTTGGGCTGATCACACCCAATTAATCCTGATGATTCTTCCTTCACCTGCCACTTTATTATTGAAAGAACAGACACAGCTCTTGAAGCTAGACAGAGTTGGCTTTATTTTATTTTTTTAACTTGCATGGATAGTACCTAGCCCAACAAACTCTGGCTGCTTTCCAAAGCCTCTGGCAAAAGAGGCAAAATACAGCAGGATGCCCAAAAGGAACAGGTGACAGCACATATGTGGCAGTCAAAAAAAAAATCAATATTAATGACATTATTCTAACTTTAAGTAAATTTTGCAAGTTGTTAAGTTCTAAAGTAATGATCCCCATGCAAAACAGAGATCTGTACATCTTTGACAGCTGCCTTTTTTGAGCAAAGCTTGAAAAAAAAACAAACCCAAACCCTCAGTATTTTTGTGTCACTGTTCACAATGTAGAGAATGCTTGGATGGCATTCTACATATTAATGAGATATCTCACATCTAACACAGGTAACAGTCATCTTATCTCAATCATTTATCTCCTGTCTGAAGAAAAAATAGGAAGGATTTAAGGAAGAGCAGCAAAAGTGGCTAGAAACGTGGGCAGATTCTCATGATCTCTTTGGTTGTTTTGTTGGGGTTTTTTTCCTAAATAAGGGTCCCATAAGGAAAGCACAGTTACAAATATTTGTTTATCAGATCTCTAATGAAAACAAAAAGCAATGGATTTAACTCTGGTAATTAAAAAAAAAATAATCTTTTCTTATATGAAGGTAGCAGAAAGTACTGAGACAGGAGCAGAAGCCAAGAAAGAAACGATTTCACCAATTCCTTGAGAAGCCTGAAGCTATATTTCAGATGTTTGCTGCTGTAAATGCCAACATAAGGATATACTATCTCAAAAGCAGTCATGTTGTAGACGATGTGTATTACTCATGGGCAATGATAGCTCAAGGCAGTATTTCACATACCTGGAAACATCACTCAAGTTTGGTCCAACTGAAACACAGCACTGAGTTGATAACAACAACAAACTCACCTCCATGATTCTCCTGACTGAGAATTATAAGCCCTCGAGTCCACACAGGGGTCCTTTGAATTTAAAGTATTTGTTTAAATTGATACTACTCTCCATGTTTTCAACAAAGGAAATCTATGAAGATTAGTTATATCCACTCCTCATACTCTACAAGACAAGCACTTCTTACAGGGATGACAGCGAATGCAAGAAGGGTAAGGCACTTGTCATATAGATATTCACATCAAAACAGACTGAACACTACATGGGCTAAACTGGCCTGAAACATCAACCCTGCTAAAATAAAGGAGTAAACTGCAACATTTAAGCACTTAGTGTTAAAGAACAGCAGTTATATGTGACCTTGTTCTGTTTGTTTGGGTGGGAGAATGCTGCTGTTTTCCTTTATTATTGTTATTTTGCTTAAGTTGGTGTACAAAAGCTTGGGTAATTCAGCATACAAGCACTGGGAGCTGGAAAAGATTAGTTTAAGGAAAAAAAAAAAAAAGCATCTCTACTTGCCCTCTAGCACACAGGAGTCAATCCAAAACTCCTGAGAAACCCTGAAGGAGGAATTACTACACCATACAATAGATTTGATCAGTGAGAGATAGAAGAGTCATTTTAGGGCTTAAAACAGTTAAGCTAACAAAATAATTCTTTTCAATTGGTCTTCAATTTCAATTGGTTTAATATTCTACAGAAGGATGTAGAGCAGTTAGTCATCCACCTCCACAAGGGAGGAAAACTGGCTAGGTGTAGACTCAGAAAGGCAAGAAAATGCATTTTTCATTATTAAAAAGATGAATCTTTGAATACAGGTGTTTGTGTTTGGGATACATCAAGAGAATGCAAGTATGAAGTGCTACAAAAACACCTTACCTCCTCTTCACATCTCTGAATACACACAATTGATTAGGGGCCATCATTTACACTAACTCTTTAAAGAGTGAATGGCAAAGAACTGCATGTAGGCTTCTGGAACACAATGTAGCAATTTGTACTAAAATTAGCATATTAAACCAAATTGCTAAATGGCACAGAGATGTAATTTGTACAACAAGCTTGCAGTTTGGCTCTTCAGCCTGCAACCTAAGGAAAATATATTTGATTTGGACCTGCCAGTATTCTTCAAGCTTCGGGCCTCCAATAATTTCTTATAAATTATTTGTACCAAACATTTAATTCAAAATTTTTAAATACCATCAGCTTAACTGAGTGGTACCAAGACAGTGAAGAGTCAGAAAGCTATTTTCACTCTTCTGTAAGGTAACACTTAAAATAATACAGGCTGTGCATGAGTTTTAAAAACAGTATCAGAGACATCAAAAATGACCACAGTGAAAACTCTTGAGAGAGGTGAGAAAAATATTTTTGTACTTTCTGGTTTGTTAGCTCTCTGAATTTGAATTTTTGATAGAGTAAGGAGGCCATAAAGGCACAGCTACTGACAGAAGACCACTGGGCAAAACAGACCCCAAATATACTCTCAGCTCTTCTGCTAAAGCAACTAGATTTCAGGGTAACATCTCTCTGATCTTCCAAAATAATTATCTTCACATTAAGTATTTTAGAGAAAGTTGGGAAAGACCCTTTAGTTGTTTTATGAAAGATACATTGCCAACCAACTTCTGCTGGCTAAGATTTAAATGCAGTGGGTTCGTATCATTAAAAAAAAAATTTATTTCCTCTGACCCCAAAAGTGCAGTTACAGAATTATTGCTGAAGAAAATCTAAACCTTCTTGACATCTCTACTGAAATTATCTACTGTTAAGGTAACCCTAAAATAAAGTGGGCTTATTTACTGTTTTGCTTTTTAAACTTGGACCATTTAAATGTTTTCATTTACAGCACAGCCCTTACACACATCTTTTTCAGCACAACTGACAGACCAACAAACTGTGGTCCCAAACACAAAAACCATAAAGGACGGACCAGACCTTCCACAATAAGTCCCTTTTTCTTCAGAACACACACTTTTCCACCTCCTACCATTAATCTCATCCTCATCTTCCTTCTCCTGCATAATCTAGAAGCAGATAAAAAGTATCAGTTCAATCAGTTCACAAGGCCAACAATGCGGGGATTATTTCAAAAACTTATGTGCTAGTCAAATTTATTTTTACATGGATGAAGCAACAGAGCTTCCTCTTCCCTATGAGGATTATCTCACAAATTACTTTTACCACAAGGAAAACACACACTTTGCAAAAGTCTCATTCTATTTAAAAACTTCTAAGTTTGTCCCATTTTAAGAGTATTTAATTTTGTTCCTTCTTCAGCTGGCCTTTCTCTTCTCAGCCATAAATCTACACACCAACTTCCTTCCCCCCCCGCCAAGTTCCTATGCCGCCTATGCTACTCAGATCCTGTACTCCTTCCCATTCCCACACTCTGAAACCTCTTTCACAACTATTCATTTTGGTCCTTCACCCATGTCAGTGTCTGTAACCAGGAGTCACAGCCTGGCATGGACACCCTCCATCTCCTGCATGCCAGGCTCTTCCAAGGTGCTGCTGAAGCATCCCAGCTATGCAAAAGGCCTCCTCAGATTGCCCACTCCAAGCACTTCAGGGTAGGCGAGCCTGTATTATTCTCCTGGAGTCCTAACACTCCAAAAGCAGCCGCCTATCTTATATGCATGAAAGCTTTTTGTAGGACAGGGCGTAACTACAACTACTACACCCTTTAAAGTTATTACCCAGGATACAAAAATATTTAATTTTTCAGCAAAACATCAGTGACAGAGGGCTTGATCCTTTACCTGCTGCCACAATATACTCCCTTCTAAAGCACCTGCTGGATGACCCTGTAGTCGAAGCACCTTTTTTCTTCCCTAAAATGCGCTTGAATATATCTAAGTTCCTGACTGCCTCTGAATAACAGAGTTTTGAGGTCAGAACAACAGCCTGCTCTCTTGCTGTTGCTCCGAGCTATCCTAAAAGACCACCACCTGCAACAGAGCAATCTAATGACGGTCAAGACCCATCAAAGACCAGCTGGGTGAAGGTCTCTCTCCAGGATGAAGACCATCTCTTCCGTACCCAGATACCTTCTCCCTCCCTGAACTGGTTTGGTTTGACCGGCCGTGGCTGGGCAGATGGTCCCATCTCAAGGGGAGCAGACCTGCAGACCCCCGCAGCTTTACAGCACGGCACCCCGAGCACGATTTGGGTGAAAACTCCCCTCTTCAGCCATCCGCGCGGTGCCGCACGACCACCCCTGCCCCAGTGCCGAGCCCCCCCGAGACCCACCTCACCCGGCCACCCCCTCGATGCCTCCCCAAACCCCCGGACACCCTCCTCCTGCCCGACCACCACTTCGGACGCAGGCCGAAGGGACAGACTTGGGATGGGGGGGCCAAAAACCACGCTGGGGCATGGGGGAGACAGGGGGCTACACCACCCCCTCGTTAAGACTCGGATTTGAGGAGGAAGGGGACAGGAAAATAGCCATTTCCACCCGCCGGGGCTAGCTGAGGGGCAGGGGCCCCCGTTATCCCGCCATTTGCTCCCCTCAGGAAAGAGGGGCCACGGAGGAGGGGGGATTCCACTGCCGCGGGGCCTAGTCGGTGGAGTGAGGGCACGGAGGTCCGGGGAGGAAGGCGGAGGGTGGGGGGAGAAGGTGTCTGAGGCGGCGGCGGGACGCGGCCCCCGGGGCAGGGGCAGGGGCCGGGAGCGGCCACTCACAGAACTCGGCGATGTAGTAGGAGACGGCGTAGTTCTCCTCACACCACTCCAAGGTGGAGGTCGGCGGGCCCCAGTAACCCTCCCGGTCAGCTGCCGGAGCCATCGCGGCACCCGCTTTTCAGGCCAAAGAGGAGCAAAAGGGGAAAGGGGAGGAGGGAGAAGGGCGCCGGGCCCGGAGCGCAGCGGCAGCGGGCGGGAACCGGCGCTGGGCCCGCCCCGCCGGGGGAGGAACCGCGGGGAGAGGGGAAGGCGGGCAGGCCGCGGGTTGCCATGGCGACGGGTTGAGGCCTGCGGGCGCGGGAGGGCCGGGGCGGGCGGCGTCGCGTTGGTCTGAGGCGGCGGTGGGGCGGGGGAATCTTGAAGGGAAGAAAAGTGTTGAGGTAAAAAAGGCAGATTTAGGGAAGATCCGAGGGGAGAGGCCGGCTGGGAGGACGTTTGGCTCAGAGGGCCCGCGCGACGGCCCTGTGGAGAGGAGGCAGGGAGGGAGGCAGGGCGCCATCGCGGCCGCGCTCTCTCCTCACCCGCTTTTCGGGGAAAAGGACGCTGCCCCGGGTCGGTTCGGTGGCACTGAGGTGGTTTCCCCTTCTCTCTGTTTTTCCTCGTAGGCTGCAGGGAGGGTTTGTAACGCGAGCGAGGCAGCGCGCTCGGTTCGTGTTTTTAAATGAGGAGGCAAGTGTTTCTCGTACTCGTGGGCTGGGAGGAGGAAGGAGGGTTTTTTATAGCGCTGCCTACTACACGGGGGTTTTCTCTCATCTGATGCCTTATTTAGTTTCCTCGGTGCTTACTACGCGTACTATACTTACACCCGTAATATGCAAAGTGCTTTTCAAGCAGAGTTGGTATCCAAAGGCAAGTAGAGTCTAAAAAGGGAAAGACTTGAAACACATGGGAAAAGAGTAAAGCGCACAAGTAAAGGCCTAATAATATCGTGGGTTTTACGTTTCAGAAAGAGGTCCGAAGACTTGAGGAGAAGCTTTAGGCAGACCTTGTGGGCTGTACACAGTGCTTATAGCCTGCCGGTCAGCAGAATTTATTATATCTGCAGATGAACACACAAACTTCTTTTTCCACATCTTATTTCTCCTCGCCTCCCCTTTTGTAAGCTAAAAAACTCCAATCTAAACACAGACCTTTCCTGGTGTAAATGCTGATGTTTCATAATGTATACATGTATCATGAAGAATAACCTGCCTTCTGCAGTTCCGCTTGTATATGATTGCTTTCGGCATCAGGTAGAGATGTGTTTAACATTTTTCATAGTGATATAAAGCCTTCAAAGCAAAATTGATTTTAGTGATGGCAATGATAAAATACTTAGATTGTCAAAACATCATCAAAATCACTGTGCATTTTTTTGTGCAGACCCATCTTTTTATTTTTTTCAGACCTAGATTATCCTCCCCAGATTTAGACTTTCAAGACTGAGGTCTGGAAGAGTACCAAACTGATTCAGAAGCACAAAACCGGTTGTAAACAATGAGGAGGATTCTAGCCTGCTTGATGCACTTTAGCTTTTTGGACTTTTGAGGGTTCCATTTATATAGTAAGGAAGGCTCTGATCTATCTTTTGTTATCATGGTTAGCCATTTTAAGATTAAAAGTTCTTAACAGAAAAATATTTCAAAGTTTGAAATTGCAGTAGTCCAGAAACTAAAGAAATAACTATTAAATATCCCATTGGCACACCAGGAGCACAGAATGGGAACAATATGAAAAACCAAGCAATTTGGATACTATTAAATTACAGTTGGCTTTAAATAAATAATTTGAAATATTGGTGCTTGTTTCTTTTCTCATCACATGCATGCTGGCCATGAGAAGATTTGTAACTGCAGTAGAAGGGGAAGTCAGACACGAAACTGGCTTTAAAACTGGGCAAGATAAATTAATGAAAGATTGTATGGGGTAGATAACAACAACAATGTGGGTTGTTATCCATTCTGTTTTTTCTAGATAGAAAGACAAGCCAAAACGTATAACTAGCCCTTAATTTGAGTAATTGGGGAATTTTTGTTTACTATTTGACACGTTTCTGTAGTATTCTCCATCACAATATGCATTTACTTCTGACTTACACTGTGGTTTGGTTCTGTGCTTTTGAACTCTGGCAAACCTTTCAGCCATTGCACTCAGAAGGATAGTATTGCAGAGGCAGCCACAAACCATTATTATACACGCTTTTTTTTTCCTAAAACTATTTTGTAAAAGTAAATTCATCTTCCACAAAACCAACTTTGACCGTTTCAGCTGTTACAATAATACATATTAAAAGCAATACTCTTCCGCTGTAACCTTGACCTATGCTTTGTAGTGTACCTTACTGCAGTGGATATAATGTGACAGCCTGGAGTTATTTGCATCTAAATGCGGTCTATCTGACTAGACGGTTAAACCTACCTATGTCCAGGTGTTGGATTTTTTTTGTCTGGTCTGTACAACCTATGGAGGGAATGCCTTGTTTCTGAAATAACAAGTAGAGAAACAAACACAGAGCTCCTGAAATGTTTATTTTCAGTATTACTAAAAATGTACTTGACATGCCAATGGAATAATTTCCTGTGGCCTCAGGTTGCCTATGGCAAAGGATCCTCCTTCTATACAGTTTCATGTTGCCCTGAAACCTCACGGTTTAACTGGTCAGTTCGGTTAATTGCGTCATGTCGGTTTACACCACTAGAGGGATATGTCCCGTACGTTTAGTATGTCGATCCAGTATTTTTTCGCTTGGGGAATAGGAAAGGGCTGCTGTTCAAAAATTGCACGTGTTCCGCTGTTTTTGTGATCCGTGAGATTCAGGGAGTGACACCTGAAGAAGAACATTTTTCTCTGTCCCTGCTCTATGCAAACACTTTATCATGGCTTGTACTGCTGGTTGCTTAATTTCTGCATAAAATGAGACCTAACAAACAGATTGATTAGAACTCATTATGGCTACATATGTTGGAGAGGATTGTACATATTCCCTCTTACCAGTATATGCATGCGAAGGGATAGATAAATTGACACAAAATCTTGAAGATGTTTTCACTGCTTGGTTCTAATAATGTTAAAATAAGGGTATCAGTCGCATAAATAAAGCTGAATTTTGTGCTAAAAATCACCTGTTCAATTTTACATTAATTATGGACCTGTGCCTCTTCTAGGATCTTATTTTATTGGGTCATAGAGTATACAACATGTTAGGCATGGAATCCTGATCCAGGGTTCTCAGCTCTAAAGTCTCACATCCCGTGATAATGTCGGTTTCCAAATACTGCAGCACAAAATGTCATTATTGGCAGCTTCCTGATAATTGTCTAGTCCATACTGGTTACAGAAAAAGGTCATCAACACCTCTAGATCCTGCAAGCCTGATCCTGTGTAACATGTAATTTATCCCATTGATTTATATGCAGATAGGATGAGTAAGCTGCTAAAAGCAGGACTGGAAGAGGCTGAATCAGACTCTTTGTAAAATGCCTTGAGGTTTAAGGGCTCTTTATGAGCACTGTTGTTGGGCTGATGATAATTATGCCTGAAGAAATATCACAGAAATGTATTGGCACCTGAATGAGTGAAAAAGAGAAGTCGTTTCCTAACGTGAAGAAGGATCTGATCCAAGAAACTTCAGCAGACTTCAGCAGAACTGATTTCCTATTCATAGCTAGGTAAAGCAGAAACGTCTGTGCTGAAGTTAAATGGAGTCATGCGTTTGTAAAGGATCATCAAAGGGACTCAAGTCCTAAAGCCATATAAATATTCATAAACTCGCCAGTGTAATATGACTGTTCTTAGTCATATTTTCAAGGCTACTGTATGCATTTTGGCAACTGACTGTGGTAGTGAATGACAGCATCACAGATTTCAGCTCTGTGGATGCTGCGAGCATCCGGCACTGAAGGGCTCAGATACGAATCCCACAACCTGAATGGTGTTATGAAGGGTGGATGAAAACAGGGGCTGCTGAGCGCAGGTATTTAGGAAAGGAGGTGCGACCTGCTGAGGACAGGACGTTCCCTCAAAGCAGATTTTGAGAAGACATTTTTCTTCACCCTTTTTCCTAGCACAAGCCTGTCTGATTGGGTCTATCGAGATGTATTCCAAAACCTTTCAAATCAAAAGCTGAGGCAGGTGATACCATCCACAACAGGTCCCATTTTACCAAAATCAGAATGTTTGCTTTCTTGTAGCAGTTGATTAAGCTGAAGCTTATCTGCACCCAGTGGTTACTACCCTGAAAGCAGACAGCATGCATAGGTGTCTCCAAGCACCTGCAACTTTCAACTCATTGTATTAGCATGAAATAAAACTGATGTCAGTTTGCACTAATTTGCAGGGCTGAAATTGGTACAGGAGGAGAAAAACCTGCTGTTCAGCCATTCCCAAGGGAGAACCAGTTGACACTGGGAAAAGTGTAGAAGAAGAGCTCAGCTTAGTAACTTTTCCAGTCATCTGAGCTTAACTCACCCTTACATGTGAATCAGAGCCCTTATGTAAACCAGTTTAAGCTGAAATACCAAATGAAAATCTGTCGTGGGAGGGAGGCTTTCCAAAAGCACAAATGGCATGTGCCTCAATCTCATTGACTTTCAAAGGAATCTGGGAATCGGTCTGCCTTTGTGCTTTGGACTTCTTCTCCTGCTTTAAAAAAGCAAGAGCAAATGCCATCACAATTCAGTGTTTACACTTGTAAACAGCTTTCTCTTTGGGGAAGGTATAGCAAGCTGTCTTTTTCTGCCTGCTAATTTACATACACGGAGCTCAATATGAAGAGACTTCCCTGAACTTTTAACAATATTTAAGTGTGTTAATCTCAATTTGGATCCTGTTTTAAAGGCTCTGTTCACTTCCTTAAATGCTGGCATCTTTTGTCACTTGAGATTCTTTCAGACCAGCAGCTGAAGGCCAGGCAGGATGCCCTGGGGTCACTGGATCTTCTCTAGATCCAGAGTCATACCTCATATGGCTCTCATCTGCTTTGTGTCCAAGAGCACTAAATCTCTGTTTTAGCAACTGAATTGAGCTGAGGTGTCTGGCTTTTTTTGGCTGGATGAAGTTGGGTGTGGTCATGAATCCCAACTGCTTACTCTCTTCCGGAAAGCACTCCACTCTGCTTTGAGGTCA